TGACCCTGTTCACAGCGGTTCACGTTTAACTTCGATATCCGGGGGTGTGGGGAGATTCGAGGAGATTGCTGCTCCTGTTCACAGCGGTGGAGGTGTGAAGACGGCAGGGCGGCCATGGCGGGAGATTTGTTGAGATCGGACCGTGACGCGAGGAGGCCGCTCCTGCGCAGCAATCAGCCGAGATCTCCCCCGAGATTTCCCCGAGATTTCCCCGAGATTTCCCCGAGACTTCCCCGAGACTTCCCCGAGATTCGCCGTAACTGCAAACGAGGGTCGCTCTAGCGGCGGCGGCGCCTCGAGCGGCGTTGGAGGAGGAGGAGGAGGAGGAGGAGGAGGCGCCGCCGCCGCAGCGAGTGAGCGCGCCTGTTCACAGCTGCAGGTGTGAAGAGACGCCGTTCACACCTCCAGTCCTCTGCCCGCGTCCTCTCGCCTGTTCACGTCGGCAGCTGTGAAGAGACCCCTTCACACCACACGCCGGCGACCCTGCGGCGGACCCCTCGCCTCCTCCCTCGCCTCCCTCGCCTCCCTCGCCTCCTTCTCCTCCTTTTCCCGGCGGCGCGCCCTCCGCCGCTCCTCCTTGGCTGCGGCCTTTGAGGCTCCGCCCGCGTCGGCGGCGTCGGCCGACGAGCGGCGCGCACGCTTGGACGACGCCGCCGCCGTCGCGGACACCTGCGGCGAAGCCTCGGCGCCGGCGCCGGCGGCGGTGGCGGCGGTGGCGACGGCGGCGACGGCGGCGGCGGAGGCGGCAGCCGCAGCTGGGAGCGAGAGGTTGTCGTCCGGAGGATGGACGTCGATGAGGAGGTCCCTCGCGTCGGCGCGGGCGAGGAAGGGCGCCGCCGGAAGCGACGGCGGCGCCACCAGCCCACCGAGGGACAGGACCGGCAACCCGCCGACGCCGACGCCGGCGACAGAGGCGATCCAGGCGGCGAGTTCGGCGCAGGTTGCTTGCTCGTTGAGGAGAGGCGGAGGGACCGCCGCAAGCTGCTGCCGGTGCCGCACGGGCAGCGTGGCGTCGAAGCGGAGACCGATGAGCATTGCCAATGGGACGCAGCGTGGCGGTAGGTTGTAGGTTGGCGCCTTTGGTTTTTTAATGAGTCGCGGCACAAACAAAAGAATTCGCGGCAATGGCAGTTGGATACTCGCATCCTGGCCCGCCCCGCCGGCCCGCCCCGCCGGTCGCGGACACGCCCGACGCGCGAACGCTGTGAACGGCGCCTCGCCGCGCCTCGATCGCCGCCGCCAAACCGCCGCCTTCTGCCTTGCTCCATGACGGCCGCCATCCTGCTGCGCTCGTGCGTTGAGACCCTCTTAGCCTTCGTGTTCTGGCCCGCAGTAACTCTGATTATGCTCCCATTCCTTTATGTTCCCGTCATCGCGCCATTCATTGCGCTCGGCGTCTGCAGCTCCGACACTGCGTTCGGCGTGCCTCCCGCCCTCCTCGCCTGGCGAAGCCTTTCGTTTCTGATTCCGATGGTGCTCTTTATTGACCTGCCGGTAGCCGTCTTATTCGCAGCGACTTTACTGATCGAGCTTCTATTCCTCCGGAACCCCCTCATCCTCGCCGTCTACAGCCTCTGCCGAAGCGCCTCAAGGTTTGCCATCGACCGCCAGCCACCGCTCCCCGACACCGAGGCCGGCCATCCGGCCGGCTTTGTCAGCTCGGCGTCGGCTCAGGCCGAGCATCGCGAACAATCCTCGCCAAACACCAACGACGGCGCCCGCTACCGCGAGCACGACTCCGTCTGGGCTGCCCTCGAGGGCGACGGCGACAAGGTCCAGCCGGGAGATGTGAGGCTGGTCAGTCTGAACTGGCTCATGGCGCTGGCAGAGCGGGGCGACGTGCTGCCGCGGCGGCAGAGCTTGCCAGAGGAGGCCTTCTTGAGCTCTGCTCAGCTGAGGCGGATTGAGGAAGGCGCCAGGCGCGGCCTCGATCGCGCTGGACTGGAGGAGGCCTTTGTGCGCCTCAGCAAGGAGCCCTCCCCCTCGTCCATTCTCGGCTTGCTCGCGAGCTTTTTCGGCCGCAAGCGCAATCCTGACGGGCTGCTCCCGATCGTCTCCATCTCCTATTGCTGGCTCGAGGCGGCGCATCCGGATCGAGAGGGCCGCCAGCTCCAGCTGCTCTGCCGCAAGCTGCGGGGCCTCTACGGCGGGCGCGGCCTGCTCGGCGCGTGCCGCGCCTACGGCTTCTCGGACATGGCGAGCTTCCTCCCCCGCCTTGCCCCCACCGCCGCTCCCTTCCTCGGCGCCACTCCCTTCCTCGCCCGCGCAGGGGGTGTTTCTGGACTGGTGCTCGGGCTACCAGAGGGATCCGGCGCTATTTGCCGAGAGGCTGTCGTACAGGGAAAGCCGGATTGGGGAGGAGAATGCCGCCTTTGCTCGCATGCTGGACAACACGATGGTGAGCACGCTCCCCCCCCCCCCCCCCTCCCCCCCGCGAGACCGTCCGTGAGAACGAAACTTGCACCTCTCCCCCTCAGCACCACGGCACATTGGCATTAGGACCTCTGGTACGCGCACGCCTCGATCACGGTTGTGCTCCTCACGCAGCTGCCCGACGAGCTGCCCGCCGGCTTTGACCGGAGCCGGACCTACGATACTCGCGGCTGGACGACATTCGAGCGGTGCTCCGCAGAGCTGGGCGCAAAGCCTTCCTCGCCGGTACTTGCCAAGTGGAAGCTCGTCATCGACGTCGCCAGCGACGACGGCGGCGCTCAGCGGCGGCTCCCGACGACTCCGAAGCGCATGGCGACGCTGCTCGCCGCTTGCCGCTTCACCAACGGCGCGGACTCGGAGGCCGTGCTCGCGCTCTACGAAAAGACGGCGAAGGCCGTGCTGGGCACGGTCAAGAAGCTCGACTACTATGGGCTGCCGCTCTTGCGTGGCGACGCGTGGACTAGCCCGGCGCTGCTGGCGGAGGCGCTAAACTATTGCGAGAGCCTCCGGACCCTCGTTGTACTTGGGAATCGCCTCGACGACGAGGGCATGACGGAGCTTGCGGCGGGGCTCGAGGACGGCGCGCTCCCGGCGCTTAAGAACCTCTCCATTGCGGTAAACCGCTACGGCGCGCGTGGTGTCGTCGCGCTCTGCGACGTGTTCCGTCGCGGTGTGGCGCCGACGCTGCATTTGCTCAACGTCAGCTGGACGCCCATCGGCGACAACGGAGCCGCGGCGCTAGCAACGACGCTCGCGATGGGCAAGCCGTCGCGTTCGCTAGACGTGTGGGGCTGCGACGTGGGTGCCGATGGCGCGATGGCACTCGCGGCTGCCCTCCCGGCTGCGGGTCAGAGGTGTCATGTGAACGCCCCATTTAATCGGATGGGCCTCGCGGGCCAGGCGGCACTGCTGGAGGCGCTCGAGGCGAAGCACGGGCCGCAGCTGGGGCATGGCTTTGCGGTGCTGCAGGTGACCTTGCTTCCCTGGTCGACCCCGCTCGTGCGCGCACTTGGTCGAGGGTTTCGCCGTGTGTTTGAGAGCGGCCGAATGCGCGTGTAGAGTAGAGCCTCACTCAACTTAGGGGCGATAGCGAGAGGGAGCTGCTTCAGCAGGAAGCAGGCCCGGACTACTCTGGCCCAAGGTACTGTTCTTAGGGACAAACACTCTTCGGGGGCACAGACGGGACGCGGTACGAACGGGCCATACTACACGTGCACTTGCTTTTTTGCAGACGAAATTCTTTTTCATAAGAAGGGGTATAAACGTGCGTCCATTTTACTATCGCAAGTCGGAAGGTGAGACAGCAAGAGCGCCCGGGCGTCAAGCCTTGCGCGGCAGGCATGGTATGGCATTACTACACGATGGGGATGTTTGACCAGAGGCTGCGCATTCCTATCTCCCTCCTCACGTTGCCGTCGCCATCGTCGCCCTCGCCCTCGCCGTCACTTGGCTCATCTCCGCCCCCGTCCCCACCGACGTCGCTGCCGTCGGAGGGGCCACTCGCGGCAGTAAAGGCGTTTGTAGCCCGCGGTGTACTTTTAGCTTACTGGCAGTGATGGCCATTTACTGGTAAAAGAGTGATATTTACCACTTATTTGATTCTCCTGCGGAGTGGTATGGTATGAGCAGAGAGCGGTAAAAAAAATTGTTCCAGTCTTAGCAAGCAAAAAGGAGCACACACGACTCAGCAAGTCCGCACCAGCGACTGCCACTCGCCTAACCATGCCTCGTCACAAGTGCCCTCCCAATCGCGTCCAGGCACACACGCTCCGCCTGTTCTCACCCTAACACTCTATCACACCCTTGCCTCCCTGCCAGAGCGAGCTAGATTCTCCCCGCCTCCCTCCCGCCTCTGCCGCGCGCCTTCTATGGACGTCCAGTGCAGCACCTAGGGGGAGAGAGGGGGTTTGCCCTAGCCAAATTGGCAAAATACCGGGTATACCCGCAAAATACCCGGTATTTTGCCGATTTATCCGATTTTAGTCAGATTTTGCTTCAGAAGTCGTGGTAAATATTACCACCATTTGATTGTTTTGGCCGTAGAGTGTTTGATTGTTCTGGGGGGCTATACCAGTAAATGGCCAGCACTGCTTATACTGGGAGTGGGAGCGGTCTCTCTCTCCTCTCTAGCCGTGCCCGTCTTCCTACATACATACATACCCGCACCCGTGGCCGGCTCGTGGACCAGCAACAGGTAAGTAAGGGCTAAGGCGCTGACCGGTCACGAAACCCACCTCACGACGACACACTCCCAGACGCCCCGCGCGCCGATGAAGCTCACAAGGCCGACCTAACCTCTTCCTCTCTCGCACAGGGCAGGCAGCGGGCAATTCAACTCACGAGCCTATGCTCGCGAGCGGCGGCGGCGCGCACGCACACACAAAGACGCTGCCCCCTCACACCCCGCACCGCACATCACACACTTCTCGTGACCGTTCTTCAGTCTGCCGCCAGGGCGCGCTGCACCGGGCCAACCTGCGGCCGTCGCTACGTGCGGCAGGGCTCAACGCGGGGCAGCGCGCTGACGACGTCGAATGCGCCGCTGTTGCATCGCGGCGCCGACGACCAGGCTCAGAGGACGACCCGGGTAAGCTTTCCCGCGCCTTCCAAACCATGCCTTCGTCACAATGCCAGCCGGTCCAACCTCCATCACAATGCCAACCGCGTCGCGGCCACCGACCGGCAAGCACACACCTCGGCTCGGATCAACACACGGTTCCGAGGCAAGGGCGAGGGGTTGGCTCCTGGCCCACGAGGGGAGCTTCCGAGACCCGCTTGCTTGCTCTCGTCGGGGTCCGTGAACTGCAATGCGAGTGGGATCAGGATGAGCGCGGCGATGACATTCCAGATGTCGGTTCTCGACATTACCGCTTGAAGCAACGTCTTGAGTTAGTAACGCCTTGCAAGCGTCGGCTTTGCATGCGTCCACGATGATCACGCCCCATGTTGCCGCTGCACAGCGTTTCCTCGAGAGTGTTGCACGCCAACTGCATGATCAGCTCGAGCTCGTCGACTGACAGCCTTCCAGCCATTGATCTGCACGGCGCGCTGTCCCGGCGTTCCTGACGCTATGGACCCACGACCGGCGAGCTGGCATGCGTCGGACACGATGACGCCGGGGCTGTCGTCGGGGTTGTCGTCGGAATGCGGCTCGGACTCACAGCAGAGGCCGAGGCCGCTGTCGGGGGAGTCGGGGCGGTGTAGCCGTGACGCACCTTTCGCATGACCCCCGCACACCAGGGTACAAAGATCTCTCTCTCTCTCTCTCCCTCTCTCTCTCTCTCTCTCACCCAGGCTGCCTTGGGGGGCTCGCGTCGGAGCTGCCGCGAATCGCGTTGATGACGTGTCGAGGGAGATCGCTGATGACGTGATGACAAGGCGGTTATGCGTTTTCTTGAGTATGTTGTTAGCAGATCACGACATAGAGCTCACACAGAATCACAGCCGGTGTTTTGGCAGATTTCTCCCAAGGCGATTTCTCTCTTCTAAGTCTACCCGCCGCGCGCTGGCAGGCTGTCGACAGTCCTGAGCGCTCGCACCGTCGCACCGGCCCGAATGCCGGCCCACCTGAGCCAGGCTGCGGCCCTCGCGTTCAGCCCCGCCGGGGCGGGGCCCTCCTCGTGGGCGCCGCGCGCGTGCGCCGGCCCCACGCCGGCGCTGTCTCCGGCACGCCGCGTCGGCGCCGTGCAGCTGTGTGCGCCAGAGCCGCCGGCGCGGGAGCGGCGCGGGGAGGACGACGGGGAGGAGGAGGTGCAGCTCCTGATGGAGCGGATTCGCAGGCTCGGAAACACCGGCCTCGACATCCTCCCTCCGATCCTGCGCGCCGTGCCCGCGACCGCTTCGGTCGTGCTCGCTTCGGTGCAGTGGGCGGGGAAGGCGGCGCAGCACGTGCGGACGGAGCTGGAGTCGACGGCGGGCGCGTTCGCCGACGGCCAGGCGCCGAGACGCGCCGCCCACGCCTCTCTCTCCCTCTCCCTCTCCCTCTCCCTCTCCCTCTCCCTCTCCCTCTCCCTCTCCCACCGTTTGTTTGCGCCCCCCAAAACCCGCCCCCCCCTCTCCCCCGCCCCACCCACCTGCTCCCCCGCCACTCCCGCCGCCAGGCGCAGCAGCAGCAACAGCATCAGCAGCAGCAGCAACAGCAACAGCTGGAGCAGCAGCAGCTGGCGCAGCAGCAGCAGCCGCAGCCGCAGCAGCCGCAGCAGCTGCAGATGGAGCAGCTGGAGCAGCTGGAGCAGATGGAGCAGCTGGAGCAGCTGGAGCAGCAGCATCAGATGGATCAGCAGCAGCAGCAGCGAGGGGGCGGGGCGTCGTCTTCCTTCTCCGACGTCACCACCACCGCCGTCCCGCCCTCGCTGCCTCCCCTCGACTACCCTCCCCCTCCTCCGCCGCCTCGCCCTCCCCCCTTCCCCCCCTCCCCGCCTCCCGCCTCCGACGCTTACTCCATCATCTCGGCCGGCGCGGGCGGGTACCGAGGTGCGAAGCGACACCTCCGAGACACTCCCAAGAGACGTTTCCGAGACACTTCCGAGACACTTCCGGGCGCTTCTGAGACACCTCCGAGACACTTTCGTGACATTTCCGTGACACGTCCACGACACGCCCACGACACGTCCACGACACGCCCACGACACGTCTCCAGGCGGAGCGAACGGTGTTAACGGCGCGAATGGCGCCGGCGGGCTGAATGGCGCAAACGGCGCCAACGGGCGGGTTGGGGCCAACGGGGCCAACGGGGCGACTGGCGCTAACGGCATCATCGGTGCCAACGGTGTTAACGGTGTTATGGTGTGCGAGTATCGATAAGCGTTGATATTACTCGTGCCTGGTTGATTGGTAGTAATAAATTTAAAATTAATTAATTTATTATTATTATCATTATTATTAATATTATTATTATCCGACCTCGTGGCGGGGCGGCGGAACGGCGCGGCGGCGCCGCCGCCGCCAATCTACCAGGCCCGATAATAATAATAATAATAATAATGATAATAATAATAAATTAATTAATTTTTAATTTATTAATACCAATCTACCAGGCCCGAGTAATAATAATAATAATAATAATAATAATAATAATAATAATAATAATAATAATAATAATAATAATAATAATAATTAATTAATGCCACTCTACCAGGTCCGAGTCGACGGCCGCGCCATCTCGCCGCCGGCGGACCAGCGCGCCGCCTCCAGCGCCGCCCGCGCCGCCGCCTCCTCCCGGCCGCCCCAGCACGCTCCTAGCCAGCAGAGCAACGGCAACGGCGGTGCTGCCAACGGGGTTAACGGCGCTGCTGCCAACGGCGCTGCCAACGGCGCTGCCAACGGCGCTGCTGCCAACGGCGCTGCCATCGGCGCCGCCAACGGCGCTGCCAACGGCGCTGCCAACGGCGCTGTGAACGGCAACAGCGGAGGTGTGAACGGCGTTCACGTGGTCGGCGTCAACGGCGTTGTCCCCGCCTTCACGCCGCCGTCGGAGCCAGTCGTCACTCCGGTCGACGCTAGCCGGAGATAGGGGGAGATAGGGGGAGATATGGGGAGATGCGGCATGTCGGAGCCAGTCGTCACTCCGGTTACGCTAGCCGGAGATAGGGGGAGATATGGGGAGATATGGGGAGATGCGGCATGTCGGAGCCAGTCGTCACTCCGGTCTCGCTAGCCGGAGATAGGGGGAGATATGGGGAGATACGGGGAGATGCGGCATGTCGGAGCCAGTCGTCACTCCGGCCTCGCCCTAGCCGGAGATATGGGGAGATATGGGGAGATATGGGGAGATATCGGGAGATGTGGCATGTCGGAGCCAGTCGTCACTCCGGCCTCGCCCTAGCCGCTATGCTGCTATGCCGTGATTGTCGCTCTTATTGACCGCATTCGTATCACCGCCTGAATAGGTCGCGCTAGCCGCTATGCTGCTATGCCGTTCTTGTCGCTCTTATTGACCGCATTCGTATCACCGCCTGAATAGGTCGCGCTAGCCGCTATGCTGCTATGCCGTTCTTGTCGCTCTTATTGACCGCATTCGTATCCCGCCTGAATAGGTCGCGCTAGCCGCTATGCTGCTATGCCGTTCTTGTCGCTCTTATTGACCCTATTCTGCTGAGAATAGGTCGCGCTAGCCGCGCCCTCCGCCGGCGCCGTGCACGCCGTGCAAGACGCCGCCAGTTTGCTGCTGCATCATCAGCCAGTCATCTCATTGCGTGATCAGGCGCCGTGCACGCCGTGCAAGACGCCGCCAGTTTGCTGCTGCATCATCAGCCAGTCATCTCATTGCGTGATCAGGCGCCGTGCACGCCGTGCAGGACGCCGCCAGCTTGCTGCTGCATCATCAGCCAGTCATCTCATTGCGTGATCAGGCGCCGTGCACGCCGTGCAAGACGCCGCCAGCTTGCTGCTGCATCATCAGCCAGTCATCTCATTGCGTGATCAGGCGCCGTGCACGCCGTGCAAGACGCCGCCAGCTTGCTGCTGCATCATCAGCCAGTCATCTCATTGCGTGGTCAGGCGCCGTGCACGCCGTGCAGGACGCCGCCAGCTTGCTTGTGCAGTGCGACGAGGATGGCCCCGCCTCCCGCCACGCTGGTCGCAGGGGGTTCATCATTAATGATTAGTTCGTTTCTCCTGCAGGACGGCCCCGCCTCCATCACGCTTGTCGGAGTCGGCGGCGGTGGCTGCAACGCGCTGGCGCGGCTGCCTGCATGGGCGCGCGACAGGCACGAGCTGCTCGCGCTGAACAGATCTCCCCCTCTCTCCCCACACCTCCCCGCACCTCCCCATCTCTCCCCACACCTCCCCACACCTCCCCATCTCTCCCCACACCTCCCCACACCTCCCCATCTCTCCCCATACCTCCCCATACCTCCCCCTCTCTCCCCACACCTCCCCACACCTCAACAACTCTTTCAGACTACGAATC